ACCCATTCAAGCCATCTCCAACAATTATTAGTCTCAAAGTGGGTTCCTCGTCATCGAATTTAGATTCATCAGAAGTAACCAAGGCCTAACACTGTACATGATGTTCAACAGATAAACATCTGGTACTTGTGCACATATTGCATTCCTGCTATACACAGTATAGATGATTTAAAGATCTCCCTCCCCTTTAACAAACCATCAGTTCATGAGGCCTTTGAAGTTTACAGGTGGATAAAAGACATTATAAAACAGATACATTTTTCAAAGAAAAAAGATAAACTACAGCCTCATTAACAAAAACTGGGAGCAATTGAAATTCCCCTTCCTTTCAATTTTCTTTACTAAATGATCATCTTTCAGCTCTATTGTTTAGAATATTTATCAGCATTCATAATATATATAAATAGACATACATAAGAAAATTTATATTTCTGTACTTCAATAAGTATAAAGCTCACTTTCAGCAACAGCACTCCTAGTGGGCAATATGTGCTTCTCATCATTTACCATTCATATATACATTATAAATGTGTGAAAGTCTTAAAAAATGTCTTCATAAGGCAGTATAAAGTGCAATTACCTAAATTAAGAGTCAAAGTTCAGTAGTACTTTGCTGATCGTTTAGTCTCAGCTTCTTCTGAAAATTCAGCAGTGTTTCCTTTACCCATATCAGTGTCTCGTTTTTGACATTACCATTACTTTGAACATATTGGGGGAACTGTGTAATAGTATAAAGTACATTTTCCATTGAGATCCTACTGTTTTGTGCTTGTTGTGATTCTAAGAAGCCAAGTATTATGATAAGTAGAACGTTTTCTGAGTGTAGTTAAGATTTCCTGATAAAAATTCAAGCTCATCAGAGGAAAGCATGAACATACTAAGATTTTTCTGGGAAAAACAGTTTGTGGTGAAAATCAGGTAAATATTATATAAGATGTCCAGTCATGTGTATACACCAAAATAAACTATTTAACATTTGATGTTGATAAAAGAGCCTTTTTTAATATAATCCTAAGAGTTTACCTGATGAAATAAAACTATTCTGAAGAAAATTGAGGGGAGCCTGGTGGTTTTCTACGAGTCCAAATGTCGTGGACCCTCCTTCTCCCTCCCCAAAAATACAAATATGGGATGATAGTTGCAAAAGTTCATATACCATCAAGTCTAAAGAATATTTTTCTGACTCTGACTGTAGATATGGCTATGTTCATGACATCATACATCCAAAATGCTCAACATCTGAAAAGGAAACTCAGGTGAAAATGTCTTTTTGGTTCAATTTGTTTATTTATTGTTTAGCACAAAGCTACACAACTGGCTATCTATGCTGACCCCATCATGGTTGTCAAAATCCAGTTTTCAGCATTATAAGCCTTCAGAATTATTACTGAGCCACTGGAAGCCTTTTTGATACAAAGTTTATTTTAGTACTATTTTCCAAAACTTTCATTATGGAACCATTATAAACCCTTAACTTAACTTGCATTTTTTTTAAATATAAGTCTCATAAAATACTGCAAGCAGATATTTACGATTTCATCAAAACTGTAGTTGTGCAACAAATTCAAAACAATAACATCACAAAGAACCGTTAACTAAAAAAAAACATTTTTAATTTCCAACAACATTTCTTCAGGTGAATCCTGACCAGATTTTTACATAAAATTAATTACTCTTCACTTTCAGTTTACAGCGAGTAATATGTATTTAAACATTAGTCTTAAGGTTGTTAAAAGTTTGAAAAAGAATGTGTTTTTAAACACTATAACATCTTAAACAAGTATTGAGTTTTTAAAAAGAGACAAAAATGTAAACATATGAAGTTAAATTATTGAAATCTATTGCTAATGCTTTTTTCAACATACATACACATGAATATACTACCACTTACCTATTAATACTCAGTAAAGGCAACAGAAACCCATTATCATCATTTTTTTTGCTACTTTACAATAAATATATTTGGTATTCTTATACAAAAATACATTTATTTTGTATAAAAAAATCATCAGAAATAATTACCAAAGTTAAAGAAATATTAATACAAATTAAGTAACCATAAACAATACTCAATATTGCACTAAATACACCATTTCATAGAGAAGATACTGGTAAAAAAAATAATGCTGCACAACACAATTCTGTAATAAAATTATAGAAGGAAATAAATTATCAGTTTTATTTTCCCCAGTGATTATTTTCAACAAAACAGCCAGCCAGTACCAAAATGAGATGTAATCCATTAGTAAAAATGGCTGCGATAGTGTTTCATCTTGTAAAGTTGTGGAAGTATGTTATTCAATGTTACTATGAAAGTTTCTGATCTGGCTAAATTATTGATGCTACATATATTGTTCAATGTGTCCATATGATCTAAACTGGGGGGAATATACAAACTATTCAATGTGGCTGTAACATAGGTTGGTATAAAATACTGAAGCTACTTACATTATTCAATGTGGCTGTAACATGGGTTGGTATAGATTACTGAAGCTACTAACATTATTCAATGTGGCTGTAACATGAGTTGGTATAGATTACTGAAGCTACTTACATTATTTAATGTGGCTGTAATATAGGTTGGTATAGAATACTGAAGCTACTTACATTATTCAATGTGGCTGTAACATGGGCTGGTATAGATTACAGAAGCTACTTACATTATTCAATGTGGCTGTAACATGGGTTGGTATAGATTACTGAAGCTACTTACATTATTCAATGTGGCTGTAACATGGGCTGGTATAGATTACAGAAGCTACTTACATTATTCAATGTGGCTGTAACATGGGCTGGTATAGATTACTGAAGCTACTAACATTATTCAATGTGGCTGTAACATGGGTTGGTATAGATTACTGAAGCTACTTACATTATTCAATGTGGCTGTAACATGGGCTAGTATAGATTACTGAAGCTACTTACATTATTCAATGTGGCTGTAACATGGGCTGGTATAGATTACTGAAGCTACTAACATTATTTAATGTGGCTGTAACATGGGTTGGTATAGATTACTGAAGCTACTTACATTATTTAATGTGGCTGTAACATGGGTTGGTATAGATTACTGAAGCTACTTACAATATTTAACTTAACTTTGAAAAGGTTTTATAAAAACTAAAGTACAATAAGCTTGATATATAATTTGGAAATTCTGAATAATTTAGGATTCTAGGTATTGAAATTGTCTGAAAAATCTCCTGGATTAAACTGTTAAAAGTAAAGATTTATACCATTTCTCCAACACAGAGATTCCTACTATATATAAATTCTAACTTGAGACTGAAATTAGCTTTCTTAGTTGGTTTCTTTCACTACCAGAATTTGATGAAACTTAAAACAATGTGTGTCACACTTTGCTAAAAAGGTTACATCATGTTTTGTGAATACCATCTGTGCATACTCTATCTTTGCATTTTATAGTGCATGTGAGAGTATGGCAGCCGAGAGATACAAAATTTATCGTTGATCAAAAATAAATAAATGTTGTATCAAGATATCATAGTTTGCCTATTCAAACTGTTTCATTTGTAAATGAGATATTATCAGAAAAAGGTGTTTTTGAAATTCTGAAGAAAAAAAAAGATTTAATCACAAAATTAAACAAATTTAAAATACCAGGGGAACTAAAATAGAGTAAACTAACTGATGATACAGAATAACTTTGATCAAAAAGAAAAACATTGTGTGAAGACATCACAGTTAGCTTATACAAAACATTTGTTTCATATTTAAAAGAAATCTAATTTGATTAAAAATACTATAGATAAGGTTTTTAAATAAACGAAAAACTTTAGAAACATTTACAAAAAGAATTGTTTTGCATTACAACTTTAAATTTGGCAGATGTTTAATTTGAGGATGATAAGAAGTTAAAAAAATTCATAAAAATTAATAGTAAAAGAATCCTACTTGGTTATTGTTTAAGGAAAAATGCAAATGTTATGAAACACGAAATTGTGAAAGAGAAAGAGAAGAAATATTTAGAAAGTAACCAACATAAAACAGAGATCAAAAAGGCTCCATTTGATTTGCTACATCTTAAAATTTCTGCATATAACAACTTTGATGTAATGCATCAGCACATTAGTTGTCTATTGCAAATAACAAAATAACTGTATAACATTTCATTTACATTACAGAACCAATCATGAGTAGATTGTTTTAACCAAAGGCAAACAAGAAATAACCTTAAATTCAGCTAGTATATAGTTCAAATAATCAATAAATATGTTTTTTTTTTATAATTAGAACATGTCCACACAATGATTTTTATAACAGTAGATCAAAAAGGTTTATGTTCAGAAAAACACGTGCATAACGCAACTGTTTGTTTTAGGCTCCACCATATATTCATTTGTTAAAAGGGATGTGCTTGTTAAAACATAACAGAACACAATTCAAGACTTAATGAACTTTAGATGTTGACAATTACTTTAATATACCAACATAACTTAGTAATAATGTTTTAATGATATTTCAATATACAAGATACTAAGCAGAATGCTAATTAAATGTGGTTTGAGTCCACACATTCTGTCAAACTATGAAAACTTTTCCAAGTGCACTTACCACAACCATTTCAAAACCATTAACAGATTTTTAACACAGAATTCCTCAATGAATCAAGACTGCAGTTGCGTTGTTATGGTTAACACACCTGAAATTATGACACTGCCAAGATAGCACAGTTGATATTATAGTTACATACAACACATATAAAAAATTATAAGGGATGCATTTCACATAAACAAAATATAACAAATTCCAAATGTACATATTCTGCTACACACATTTAAAGTTAATGGAGTAACTTTTGGTCCTGGGTATCAAGAAAGGAGTGAGAGACTCAAGTAACTCTTGCCTTGATTGGGACTACTTTACTTGATTGCAAGCTATGGCTGAATGAAGCAATGACAGAATGACAAACCTAAAACTATAAGTTTGAAGTTAAGCCTGACAATAAAGTTAAAACTATTTTAGCAACAGGATACTGAAATCTCCAATAATACTCATTATATACAGAAAAAAAAGAAAAAAGTAAAGGATCAAATTGATATAGACTGCTAAATGCTAGAGCATATCTAATGTGAACCAACAGCCAATAAATTTGATTTACAAGATACTAATGTTTCTGAGCTTTACTAACAACCTATTTTTTTCTGAGCTTATACCTTTAAATAAACTTTAAAAAACACCCAGTTTCCTGTAATTCATCTGTTGATATTTTTACTACTTTCTTCACAAACCTTCTTAGAACATAATTTCCAGGTCTCTTGTACAATGATGGATTTTATGATCTTTTCATTCCCCTTAAAAATATAAAATATAAGTGATATGTATAAAGACAAATTTCTCCATCTGAAAGTCAAATTTTGTGTTTTATAACAGCTAGAGCAATGTGTAGAACAGTATTCCTTTAATGACAGATTTGATAAAATCACAACTGTTGTTTAGTAGAACGGAGGTCTGTCTGAAGAGGTAACAAATCTGAAAAGGAACAAAGACATTTTGTTACGAAAGATCTTATCATCACGTTGAATAATTGACTAATGAAGTAATTTAGGTGAAGTGAAAGGTAGATCTTTTGTTTGTTGAAAATAAAACAATAATAGCTGACTACTAAGGTTAAAACAAACATTCATAGAGACACCCATATAATTCTGATCATATATTTATATACACAATAAACTAAATTAATAAGTAGAAGAAAATGTTAGCCAAAGTATGACACATTAAAACTCCAACTAACTATCCAAACTCAAACTTTGTGGTGTATGGGGCAAAAAACAACTGCACATGGCATATTTAATGAGTATCTTTTTTCTCTTTAATCACTTACCCATGTTAAGAGTTTGAAGTATATAAAAGTGAAATTAAATGAAACATTGAACTTGGCTATTAAAGAAATGTTACTTTACTTGCTTTCAGTTCTTTTTTCTATCTCTCACACATGGTTAGTGATATTGTCACTGAGAAATCTCACAATAGTACTGTATCTATAACACAAGACAGCATCCATAGTTAATGCAAATCTGGTGTTATGCCAAGCCAGTATTCCTTTACAGACCAATCATTTTTAATATTATTAAATCAGTACCATTTCATACACTGCCAAGCCAGTACACCTTTAACCCGATGACCACCAGCTACTAACTGTCTGAGTAGCCAATGCAAGTCTTGCTATATTTCATTCCAACAATAAAACTAGTGGATGAAACTGTTTGAAACTTCATAAGAACTTACATAAATGTGTGTAGTTCAAGAAACATAAATCCTGTTATTTTTGATAAATTTAGTTTTTTGCATTATGATCTTTAATATCTTGGAAAATTACATTAGGAAATGG